GACAATACAAGCCACTATCACTACCACACAAGGACAATACAAGCCACTATCACTACCACACAAGGACAATACAAGCCACTATCACTACCACACAAGGACAATACAAACCACTATTACTACCACACAAGGACAATACAAACCACTATCACTACCACACAAGGACAATACAAACCACTATTACTACCACACAAGGACAATACAAACCACTATCACTACCACACAAGGACAATACAAACCACTATCACTACCACACAAGGACAATACAAACCACTATCACTACCACACAAGGACAATACAAACCACTATCACTACCACACAAGGACAATACAAACCACTATTACTACCACACAAGGACAATACAAGCCACTATCACTACCACACAAGGACAATACAAACCACTATCACTACCACACAAGGACAATACAAACCACTATTACTACCACACAAGGACAATACAAGCCACTATCACTACCACACAAGGACAATACAAACCACTATTACTACCACACAAGGACAATACAAACCACTATCACTACCACACAAGGACAATACAAACCACTATCACTACACACACAAGGACAATACAAACCACTATTACTACCACACAAGGACAATACAAACCACTATCACTACCACACAAGGACAATACAAACCACTATTACTACCACACAAGGACAATACAAACCACTATCACTACCACACAAGGACAATACAAGCCACTATCACTACCACACAAGGACAATACAAGCCACTATCACTACCACACAAGGACAATACAAGCCACTATCACTACCACACAAGGACAATACAAACCACTATTACTACCACACAAGGACAATACAAACCACTATTACTACCACACAAGGACAATACAAGCCACTATTACTACCACACAAGGACAATACAAGCCACTATCACTACCACACAAGGACAATACAAGCCACTATCACTACCACACAAGGACAACAACAACAACACAAACCACTATCACTACCACACAAGGACAATACAAACCACTATCACTACCACACAAGGACAATACAAACCACTATCACTACCACACAAGGACAACAACAACAACACAAACCACTACTACGACCAAACAAACACACACAACAAACAGCAATCAACCATATCTTCAGAACAAACAAGTATCTTTTAAAACAGCTATAAGTACTCCATACAAATTTAAATGTTCTATTATTATTATTATTATTATTATTATTATTATTATTATTATTATTATTATTTATAATAATTATTATTAATTATAATAATAATTATTATTATTGCTCTTGTTAATAACCCTAGACACATCTTCGACTTTAAATTACTAACTCACAACAGCAGAACCAATTAGCTTGTCGCCATTAAAGGAGACAAGGCGGGCCATTTAAACCTTGGCGCCGCTCTGCATGCCTCTGGTAATTCGGTAATTTATTGTAAATGGCCTCAAATTGTTTCTAATTATCTAAAGTGAGAAGTAAATTATCTATTTAGGAAGTGTGTTTTGATAACTGTTGGGCTTATTTGGTCTCTTTGTTTGACCTTAATAAATGCTCACCACACACACACATTATATATATATATATATATATATATATATATATATATATATATATATATATATATATATATATATATATAATGGTCAACGAGAGCTGTTGGGTATTGGGTTAAGGGTCAGACGATGTCCAATACAAGGTACTGGACACGCCAAGGGGCATGGCTGTCTGGGTTCGAATCCTTCAGGGGGTCAAGAGTTTTCTGATGCATGTTAGCTTGGGGATCATTCAGCGCTTGAAGCGCAGAGCCAACAAATCACAGTGCCCCCCCCCCCCCCTTTAAGAAGGATCAGCTCCTGTTCCGAATTCCAGGTCTGAAAGGAGTGTTTCGTTTTCCATAGAGTTTTTCTTTCAAGTTTTCCAATTGATCGTAATTTCCCGACTGACAATGATTTTTTAACTTCATTAAACGATACATCAAATAAGAATTGTAAAAAAATAATATTGTGGTCATGTTGTATGTCTGCTGGGGATGTATATGTGGTCATGTTGTATGTCTGCTGGGGGATGTATATGTGGTCATGTTGTATGTCTGCTGGGGGATGTATATGTGGTCATGTTGTATGTCTGCTGGGGGATGTATATGTGGTCATGTTGTATGTCTGCTGGGGGAAGTATATGTGGTCATGTTGTATGTCTGCTGGGGGATGTATATGTGGTCATGTTGTATGTCTGCTGGGGGATGTATATGTGGTCATGTTGTATGTCTGCTGGGGATGTATATGTGGTCATGTTGTATGTCTGCTGGGGGATGTATATGTGGTCATGTTGTATGTCTGCTGGGGATGTATATGTGGTCATGTTGTATGTCTGCTGGGGATGTATATGTGGTCATGTTGTATGTCTGCTGGGGATGTATATGTGGTCATGTTGTATGTCTGCTGGGGGATGTATATGTGGTCATGTTGTATGTCTGCTGGGGGATGTATATGTGGTCATGTTGTATGTCTGCTGGGGGAAGTATATGTGGTCATGTTGTATGTCTGCTGGTGGATGTATATGTGGTCATGTTGTATGTCTGCTGGGGGATGTATATGTGGTCATGTTGTATGTCTGCTGGGGATGTATATGTGGTCATGTTGTATGTCTGCTGGGGGATGTATATGTGGTCATGTTGTATGTCTGCTGGGGGATGTATATGTGGTCATGTTGTATGTCTGCTGGGGGATGTATATGTGGTCATGTTGTATGTCTGCTGGGGGATGTATATGTGGTCATGTTGTATGTCTGCTGGGGATGTATATGTGGTCATGTTGTATGTCTGCTGGGGGAAGTATATGTGGTCATGTTGTATGTCTGCTGGGGGATGTATATGTGGTCATGTTGTATGTCTGCTGGGGATGTATATGTGGTCATGTTGTATGTCTGCTGGGGGATGTATATGTGGTCATGTTGTATGTCTGCTGGGGGATGTATATGTGGTCATGTTGTATGTCTGCTGGGGATGTGTATGTGGTCATGTTGTATGTCTGCTGGGGGATGTATATGTGGTCATGTTGTATGTCTGCTGGAGATGTATATGTGGTCATGTTGTATGTCTGCTGGGGGATGTATATGTGGTCATGTTGTATGTCTGCTGGGGATGTATATGTGGTCATGTTGTATGTCTGCTGGGGGATGTATATATGGTCATGTTGTATGTCTGCTGGAGATGTATATGTGGTCATGTATGTCTGCTGGGGATGTATATGTGGTCATGTTGTATGTCTGCTAGGGGATGTATATGTGGTCATGTTGTATGTCTGCTGGGGATGTATATGTGGTCATGTTGTATGTCTGCTGGGGGATGTATATGTGGTCATGTTGTATGTCTGCTGGGGGATGTATATGTGGTCATGTTGTATGTCTGCTGGGGGATGTATATATGGTCATGTTGTATGTCTGCTGGGGATGTATATGTGGTCATGTTGTATGTCTGCTGGGGGATGTATATGTGGTCATGTTGTATGTCTGCTGGGGATGTATATGTGGTCATGTTGTATGTCTGCTGGGGGATGTATATATTCTGAGAGAGAGAGAGAGAGAGAGAGAGAGAGAGAGAGAGAGAGAGAGAGAGAGAGAGAGAGAGAGAGAGAGAGAGAGAGAGAGAGAGAGAGAGAGAGAGAGAGAGAGAGAGAGAGAGAGAGAGAGAGAGGGAGAGAGAGAGAGAGAGAGAGAGGGGGGAGTGAAGGGAGGGAGTACAACAGTGGGAGCTGCCTGTCCTCTCCAGTCGTCACAACGTAACAAATATGATGTACTAAATTGCCCGAACCTAACCTACCCTGAAGACAACCCGCTCTCGCACAAGACAGCATATATATGACTTATTGCTTATAGCCACTATTTCGCTTATAAATAAGTGTATATGTGAGATATTCCAAGCCATATTTTTTTCAAGGCACTAACTTTTCCTCTCAGTTTTATTAAAGAATAGTGATTTTATTCAAAATTTGACAATCTCCTGAGTTACTTTACAATTTATTTAAATATTTTATTTGTTTTTATTATTTTTATAAAACTGTAATATCAACACAGGTATAGGTTCAGTACTAATTGTAATATCTTAACATACGAAGAAGGTTAGATTAGGCTGTGCTTTTCTATTTAGCATTTCCAGATAAACTGAAATATTCACAATAAAATAGTATGTCACATATGCACTTATTCATAAGCAGGATATTGACTATAAGCAAGTGCGAGAACGGGTTGCTGGAGAACCCAGGACCCACGTGTAGAAAACGGAACAGCGGGTCAATTTAACGAGTCGCTATGAGTTTTAACACGTCATATTCTGGCTGTTGAGGATTTATGTCACAATGTGATGCACTATTCTAAATGTGTGTGTGTACTCACCTAGTTGTGCTTGCGGGGGTTGAGCTCTGGCTCTTTGGTCCCGCCTCTCAACTGTCAATCAACAGGTGTACAGATTCCTGAGCCTATTGGGCTCTATCATATCTACACTTGAAACTGTGTATGGAGTCAGCCTCCACCACATCACTGCCTAATGCATTCCACCTGTTAACTACTCTGACACTGAAAAAGTTCTTTCTAACGTCCCTGTGGCTCATTTGGGTATTCAGTTTCCACCTATGTCCCCTTGTGCGTGTATACCTTGTGTTAAATAATCTATCTTTATCTACTCTATCAATTCCCTGGAGAATCTTGTATGTGGTGATCATGTCTTAACTAACTCTTCTGTCATCCAGTGACGTGAGGTTTAATTCCCGTAGTCTCTCCTCGTAGCTCATACCCCTGAGTTCCGGTATTAGTCTGGTTGCAAACATTTGAACCTTGTCCAGTTTAGCCTTATGCTTTAGTCTTATGCTTATGTTTGTTTGTGTGTGTGTTTGTGTGTGTGTGTGTGTGTGAGTACACACACACACACACACACACACACACACACACACACACACACACACACACACACACACACACACACACACACACACACACACACACATCACAGATCTAGGTTCTAGGATCACTCAGGGTCAGATCACAGATCTACGGTATCACTAAGTGTATAACCGCGAATAGGAAAGAAAAAAAGTACAGAGCTATCACTAGAACTTGGTGTAAAGCAGTGAACAATCTCCAACACAGGGCACGTGGGAGGGCCACGAGGCTTTTTGTTTACATATTGGTGCCTAGGGATCTATAGTGAACAGTGGTAGAGTAAAGTAGTGAACAGTAACACAACAGTCACAACGATACAGTGACTGAGTCCAGAGCTTTGTGTTAGATAGAGAAGAACCGCCATCATCAATCTATTGGAACTTAGTGAATCACCACGTGGGAGGCGACGACGGCACCCCGTCACCCAGACATCGTCCTTATTCATCTAATTGTGTGAGCGGGAGGCTGACTGGTAGGTACCCTCTCTGGTCAATTATTCAGGTGTAAAGAGTGAGGTAAAATATTACAAATTCTTGTTCAGTATATCATATATTTTTAAAATTTCAAAGTGGCTCATCCAGGCAGAGGTTGACACTTACGGGGCTTTCGTGACACACGCACACACGCACACGCGAGCACACACACAAGCACACACACACGCATACACACACACACACAAACGTTCAGTCAGGGTAGAAGGGTAGAAAAGATTAACACTATTGTGGAAAGGTGATAAGGCCACAAACACTTATACTCCACTCCCCCTCTCTTACCCCCCATCTCACTAACCCAAAACACTCCCACCTCTTCTCCCACTCCCCCCTACAACTGACCTGAAGTGACCATCTCTGTCCCCTCCCACCTCCCAGCTTCCCACGCATCCCCCCCCCCTACAAACACACACACACAAATACACATGCACGCACATCTGCACTCCTCTCTCTCTCTCCATCTCCTCTCTCTCTCTCTCTCTCTCTCTCTCTCTCTCTCTCTCTCTCTCTCTCTCTCTCTCTCTCTCTCTCTCTCTCTCTCTCTCTCTCTCGCTCTCTCTCTCATCCCGCTTGCCCTCCTCCTGACAAATCCGATCACAGCATAACAGGAACAGGGGCAAGCATAATAGCCAGAGGTAACAGGGGGAACAGGGATAAGTCAAGGTGATGAAATGAAGGAAATGTTTGCCCAGCTTTTGGAAGATATCAAGAGTGAGATGCAGGGAATGATGCAGGAAATGAAGAATGAAATAAGCAACCTGAAAAGAGAGCTAACAGCAGCAAAGGAGGAGATTAGAACCCTAAAAGAGAACAATATTGATAATGAGACTCAGATAATCATCCAGGGAGAAGGTGGAAATAATATACAGGAAGAGAATGCCACTATAAAAGCAACACTTGCAGAAATGCTAAAAAAATAACTCTGAAGTAATGTCCACAATGATGGAGGTGGCCATGACAGCAGCAACTCACAGGAAGTGGCACGCTCCACTAGCCAGCTGCTGGAAAGAAAAAGATCAGTGGTAGCTGTGGGTATTAAAGAGCAGGAAGGCTCCAGTAGGACAGAGTGGAATGATAAGGACAACACAACAGTGAATGAAATACTGAAGGCACTAGAGATGGAAGGGGACGAGCATAGAATTGAGAAGGTTTTCAGGCTAGGCTGGTACAACAAAGACCAAGACCGTGTGTTAAAGATAGTGTTTGCAAACGAGAACACAAATGAGATGATTCTAACAAGGAAGAGCCACCTGCAATATGTGGGAGATTTAAAAAAAGTATTCCTCCAGGGGAACATGATGAAGGAGGAGAGAACCATGGCGGCAGAAGCAAGGAAGAAGCGCAGGGTGAGAGGGGAAAACCAGGAAACCACAGCTCCCAACACAACATCCCCAGAGATGAGAGGGAACCCACAACCACCTACCCAGTAACACCAAAGGAGAGGGCAACCCCACCACCCTCCTCTACATAGAAACCCCCCCCTACCCCAAACCCTCCGTGCCTCCACCCAAATGCTCAGCGAAATCTCCCTCCCCCCATACCTCATTCTCACCATGCTTCCCCTTCCCTCCTCCCGCCATGTCCCCCCTCCACCCCTTTTCCTTCCTGTCCTCCGTCCTCCTTCATCCCATACCCTCCCTGCCTCCCCTTCACTTGATCCCCCCCCCCTCACCCCAGTTTCCTCTGAGACCCTGTTATCTACCTTATAAATCCTCACACCCATGGAACAGCTTCCCCCACCAGCAGAACACTCACCAAGGAGGTGATTTGGAAGGGACAGAAGAAAGTAAGTCTCAAGGCAATGTATACTAACATAGATGGAATTATAAATAAAGCAAATGGAATGAGTACTTGATGAATGAGTACTAGAAGAAAACCCAGACATAATAGCACTCACAGAAACAAAGCTAACGAAAACCATAACAAATGCAGTGTTCCCACACGACTATTATGTTATGAGGAAAGAGAGAGAAGGAAGAGGTGTTGGTGGTGTAGCTCTGCTGGTAAGAAAAGGCTCTGACTTTGAGGAGATGGTCATTCAGGGCTGTGAAGGCTTCAGTGACTACATAACAGGTAGGAGCCGGTCGGCCGAGCGGACAGCACGCTGGACTTGTGATCCTGTAGTCCTGGGTTCGATCCCATGCACCGGCGAGAAACAATGGGCAGAGTTTCTTTCACCCTATACCCCTGTTACCTAGCAGTAAAATAGGTACCTGGGTGTTAGTCAGCTGTCACGGGCTGCTTCCTGGGGGTGGAGGCCTGGTCGAGGACCGGGCCGCGGGGACACTAAAAGCCCCGAAATCATCTCAAGATCATCTCAAGATAAACATAACAACTGGAGGACAAAAAATTATAGTAATAGTCATATATTAATGCACCACCAACTGACAGAAGACCGAGACAGGAAGATGATAGAAACAACATGGCCACCATTAACATGATAGAGAGAGCAGCTTCTGTTGCTAGCAGGAATGGATTTGGGCTACTAATCATGTGAGACTTCAACCATGGGAAGATAGATTGGGAGAACAGAGATCCGCATGGAGGACCAGAAACATGGAGAACTAAGCTGCTGGACGTGGCAACAAGACACTTTCAAAGCCAGCACATCAAGGAACTAACAAGAATGAGAGGAGAAGATGAACCAGCCATGCTCGATCTGATATTTACCCTAAATGAGTGGGATATAAGGGAATTCAAGATGGAAGCACCCTTGGGAATGAATGACCACAGTGTATTGAACTTTGAGTACCTGGTAGAGCTAGGAATTATCTCCCCTCAAAAAGAACTAGGAAACAAAAGGCTGGCATACCGAAAGGGGAACTATGAGGAGATGAGAAGTTTCCTAAGGACCTTGGGACACAGACCTCAGAACTTAGTCTGTACAAGATATGATTGACTAAGGGAGCTGGTCGGTCGAGCGGACAGCACACTGGACTTGTGATCCAGTGGTCCCGGGTTCGACCCCGGGCGCCGGCGAGAAACAATGGGCAGAGTTTCTTTCACCCTATGCCCCTGTTACCTAGCAGTAAATAGGTACCTGGGTGTTAGTGAGCTGTCACGGGCTGCTTCCTGGGTGGAGGCCTGGTCGAGGACCGGACCGCGGGGACACTAAAGCCCCGAAATCATCTCAAGATAACCTGACTATGTCACCTAAAAGTGTCAGGAGGCAGTAAACAGGTTCATTCTGGCCCAAAGGGAAAAATCCGAGAAGCAAAAGAAGAATCCATGGTATAATAGGGTATTTATGGAAGCAAAGGGACTGAACACAAGGGCGTGGAGGAATTTCCAGAAAAACAGAACACCAGAAAGCAGAGAGAGATAAGAGAGAACCAGGAATGAGTATGTTTGGGTGAGAAGAGAAGCAGAGAAAAATATGAAAATGATATAGCAAACAAACCCAAGACCGAACCAAAGCTACTCCACACTCACATCAGAAGGAAAACAACAGGGAAAGAACAGGTTTTGAAACTTAGAACAGGCGAGGACAGGTATACAGAGAATGACAAAGAGGTGTGTGAAGAACTCAACAGGAGGTTCCAGGAGGTCTTCACAATAAAACAAGGTGAGGTCACTGTGCTAGGAGAAAGGGAGGTAAACCAGGCGGCCTTGGAAGAGTTTGAAATTATGAGAGAGGAGGTCAAGAGACACCTGCTGGATCTAGATGTTAGAAAGGCTGTTGGTCCAGACTGGATCTCGCCATGGGTACTGAAAGAGTGTGCAGGAGCACTTTGCTTGCCACTCTCCATAGTGTATAGTAAGTCACTGGATACGGGAGACCTACCAGAAATATGGAAGACGGCGAATGTGGTCCCAACACAAAAAGGGTGACAGACAAGAGGCACTGAACTACAGGCCAGTGTCCTTGACTTGTATACCATGCAAGGTGATGGCGAAGATTGCGAGAAAAAACCTGGTAACACATCTGGAGAGAAGGGACTTCGTGACAAATCGCCAACATGGATTCAGGGAGGGTAAATCTTGCCTGACTGGCTTAATAGAATTCTACGACCAGGTGACAAAGATTAAGCAAGAAAGAGAAGGATGGTCGGACTGCATTTTTTTGGACTGTCGGAAAGCCTTTGAGACAGTACCCCATAAAAGGTTGATGCATAAGCTGGAGAGACAGGCAGGAGTAATGGTAAGGTGCTCCAGTGGATAAGGGGGTACCTAAGCAATAGGAAGCAGAGAGTTATAGTGAGGGGTGAGACCTCAGATTGGCGTGAAGTCACTAGTGGAGTCCCACAGGGCTCTGTACTCGGACCAATCCTGTTTCTGATATATGTAAATGATCTCCCAGAGCGTATAGACTCAATTCTCTTAATGTTTGCTGACGATGCCAAAATTATGAGAAGGATTAAGACAGAGGAGGACAGCTTGAGGCTTCAAGAAGACCTGGACAAGCTGAAGGAATGGTCGAACAAATGGTTGTTAGAGTTTAACCCAAGCAAATGTAATGTAATGAAGATAGGGGTAGGAAGCAGGAGACTAATAATACAAGGTATCATTAGGGAGATGAAATACTTCAAGAGTCAGAGAGAGAGAGAGAAAGACCTGGGGGTTGATATC